ACTTGTGCATACCTGTAATAATCTACCTTGAATTTGTACCGTGCATCAAAAATATTTGACGATTTCACAATTTACCTATTGTCATTACCATGAGCGGATTCAATGATGTTAGGGGAGGGGGGGTCGCACAGCGGATCGAGTCAATAGGAGAGGTTGGACAAAATTTGGAAACTTTAAAAGTTTATAACTCCATTTATGCAAAATTTTGAGGTTCTGAAAGTGATTCCATTTGTTTTCTCGTAAAATTTTCTACTAGAAGCACCCCTTTTAAATTTAAATTGTGACGAAATAAACCATAATTTGCAGTTTTAGTCAACAATTTGATGTCCGACCTCTCTGATGGACTGGATCCTCTATGCGCCGCCCGAAAAAAAGAGGAAGGAAAAGGGGAGGAAAAGAGGGAAGAAATGGAGGAAAGGAGAAGTAAGGACACTTATAGTTGAAAATTATTCATAACGAAATTGACTCAAGCTGCATATTAGGTGCTTTAAATGTTCTGGGGAAGCGTTTTAGACCCGCCTTTCTTCATGAACCGTTCGAAGTATCTGATCCGCCTATGGTCATTGCATTGTAATTTTTTACGATGAGATCGCAATGTTTTTACATAATTTCGTCAATAAATGCCGATTTTAAACGATCAATGAAGCGAGGTCCATGTGTGGAAAAGTTACGCAATGCGCAATGCCGAAAACTTGCAATAAATTTCAAAAAGTTGGGCCCCTTCAATTAGTGAGCAGACAACTTACATAACACTTAATTCAATCGGAACAATTTTAGTATCTGATAGCAATTTATTGCAACCTCTGCTACTTGGGTAACCAGTTAGACGAACCGAGATTCGTATATTTAACCGAAAACGTCTGTTTTTTGTCGACTGAAGTGCGGTTTTTAAGATTGAAAACTTCGGTTACACCAATCCAAAATTTCTGCCAAAGAAACCAAACATTATGATGTTCCATGTGAACCGAAGTCCTCCTCTCTGTGTGATGAGAGTAGGATGCTACAAATTATCGAGTTACTGTCAAAAGCTGTGAAAGTAACTTTTAATTGGGAAAACTTACATTTTTTGAAAGAGTAATGCTGGGCCGGAAAAATCCAAAATCATTTCAACTGATAAGAGAGAGGACTTTCAACCTTATGTGATTAATACTCGGAGACTGGGTCATCATTAAGATGGCTGATGAGGAGTATTAGATTGTGCAGATTTCGGTTTTGGTAGCCTGCTCGATGCTTGAAATGAATCACTTCTACAGATATCATTATGTTTTGAACTTTGAGTGACAAAACAAGATTGATGAATAACCAATCGAATGTTTCTTGGAAACAATTTTCTCTCTTTGGAGGTGAAAGTGATTTAGCTTCTCAAAAGTCGTACTCGGCAGCATATTTAGCGAGCTATAGTGATTGCTTCAAAAACGATTTCTTAGAAAACACTCACGCCTTTACTACGTTTAGACCTTACCATCTCCATTCATCGCACTTTAATAATCGAGCGAATATTTTTTCTTATCATTCAAACATGTCTGTTGTTTGATGGCCTTGTTCAAGTGAACTGCTTAAACAGAAGCAACAAATATCCTTCGAAATACGAATCTGAAAGCCAGGGGGTTGCTAGGGCTTATCTAGATTGCATTTTGCAAAAAGGAACCATTAGCATTGCAATGTTGCTAAGATCGTGCAACTTCTTTAGGCTTGGAGGAAAACCCCGATTATCCCTTAATAGTTTCTATTTTACTCGCTAAAAACTGTAAATTTAAGACAAAAATTACCATCTAAATTTCATAGTTTTTCACAATATCCGCAATTTTATTGCAAAGGATGAAGTTGCATAATCTTAGCATCATTGCAATGCTAATGGTTCCTTTTTGCAAAATGCAATCCATCTATGAATTTATAAATTGAAATTTTTTCTCTCACTGGCATAATACCTCAGTATACGGAAAAACAAACTTACAACGAGTCTCTGGGAAGTACGTTTGAAACTGAGACTCTGTCATATGCATCCGAAGTAACTATGGTGGAAGCATTAACCACTTTGAGCCCACCACTATATTACAGGTCACTCGGTAGTAATTTTTCATTGGTTTAGTGAGTGTTTGTCACATAGACTGGCAAAAACACACGGACATAGCCCGAATTTTTAAATTTAATTTTAAATTTTAAAGTTTGTGCAAATTTTTGTTTCCTATTCAAGGAAAAGTTGAAGACCATCTGAAGAAGTCCTAGGTTTTATGTTATGTTGTATTTTCTTTTAGCTTCGGTTACCCGTTTTTCTTGTGGTTTTAGCACATTGCCCGATAAATGTTTTATTTTTCAATAGTTATTTTTCTTATTTTCCTTCCGCCCTATTATTTGATCTCTCATTCTTCTTTTCTTTCCTTCCTTCCTTTTCTAAAAGAATTTCTAAAAAACGAAAATAGGGAGAGCTGAAAAATTAAGCTTATTTGAGGAACTTAGTTTTCCCACAAAAATTATAAGTAATACCCTTTTTCAAACCTGCAATATACAGCGCATAAAGGTTAAACCGAGCTAAGTCATAAAACGTGACCAATTTAAATTTAAAAAAAAACAACTGAATATTTTTTTAAAATTATTATTTAAAATTATTGAAAACCGTTAATTTTCCAGAGCATACCTTTTATTCATCTCTTAGCTTAGATGTTTTAAGTCCATTCATCTAAGAAAGTAAGAAGCATAGAATTAAAAAATTTGATATCCCCCATTTACCTCACAGGCAGCATCTTTTGTGTGCGAGAGAATTTTAACGATTATGTAACCTGCAAACTTTCGGTAAATAAAGGTTTCGTCGTAAGTTCAATAATTAAATAATTATAAGGCTTGTTTTCTCAAACTGAAATCGAAGTATGATAAAATCTGTTATTAATCTGGAAGCTAGTTAGGCGCGATATCGGGAGATGAGCGGAGTTGTCACATTAGGCATTATTTCGCGCCAACTCGTGGAAAATTCACATTTTAAGGCATCATTCTGGTGTACTTGCAGATGAGGAAACTCCAAGAGAGCGTATTTACGCTAAAAGTTTAGTTCCTACAGTTCATCTCTCCCGAAAGGTTATCAATCTCTGTGGTCTGAAGTGGCACGGTTTAGTCAAATCATTGGAAAATTCAATATTTTTTTTTATTATTTTTTTTTATAAATCATTTACAACAGGTGTGCTACTTAAAATGTGAGTTCCCTGAGAGGTTGGGCATTAAGAAGTATACTTGACACATGAGTTGATGGCGTATTGTATTGGCGGTCACACCTATCTTTCTAGACTGCAGAATATGATTCTTGTTTTGTTTTTTGCTTATTTTTGCAACCGCTCTTGAACACAAGATAAGATGAAGAACATCAGCATGTAGACTAAATTGAAATGTCACCTTCCACGAAATTCAACGCATGTTCCTTGCCATGAAATGAAAATTTCATTGGCCTCGTGCAGGCCGAATTGCCAGAAAATTTATTTCATTAATTTAGCAACACCGGATTCCCTCCATTTAACCCTATGTTAAATAATCGATTATTGTCAGAGCACCTGGTCCCTCAAGAATCGATACATTTCCATATGGTTAAATGGAGAAAAAAAATGTTGCCAATTTGCTTCCGCCGATGCAAGATGGAGAATACATCCATACAAAAACTACTAATTTTTTTTAAATTAAGGGGGAAAGGGGGACTAAGACATGGTCCAAATCAGTCTAGAAACAATAGGGATACGAAATTTCAGCAATCAATTATCGGCATGCCATAAGATGATCCATTCAGGAAGTTGATCGATAAAAAACTCAAATTCTCCAGATGACATACTAGAGGTGATAATTTGATCAGCCACGTTCTATGAATGCATAATTTAGATGAAAATCTAATCAAATTCAATGAAGTCGTCGGGTCAGTCGTAAATCACTTCCGAACAATTTATTTTATTAGATTCTTGGTTTTGTTTCACCGTTGCTAATCCTGAACTGTTACTGCTACTTTTTGTTTCAACGTTACTAATGAGCGGAACTAATTGTTTCTAATGGATTCTTTTTAAATGTCTTAATAAATCATGAGTGTGTAGGATTAATTGCTTGTGACAGATTAATAATGTCAAAACTGCAATTATTCATCTTAGGTTGTTCTTACTTGCTTCCTTATCACGCGGCAATCGCTTTATCAATCGTTCGTCCAGTGATGCAATAATATACTATCAAATCTCACAGCTTGTGTGCAGTTTTTCGTGACGCACTAATACGTAGTAAGCTCCGCTTGGTGGGTCAGTTGGACAATATTTCGCAATTAGGAACCACCATTTCTGGCTCAGCCGTAAAAATACGTATGTGGATAGGAAAAATGATGATCCGTACGTTATTTCTAAATCAAGCTATAAGTTGCAGTTCCTTACTGCAAAATGTATCCAGTTAAAATGAGCGTTGCAGGAGTCGCATTTTTTTAGCCAAATCTGTAGTTTTGCAAAAATACAATCAGATCTGAAGGTAAACGGAAAAATTCAGGTTTGGAGAATAATAGCGAACTTGCCACCATTTTGCCAGCGCGGCAATATGTGTCTTGAGATGGGGGAAAAGACAAAATAGCTGTATCACAACTTAAAGGGGTTTGGCCCGAAGAACACCCAAAAATCACACATTTGATCTCTAGAGATGCTTTTTCCTCCGTAAAAACATGGACCTACATAACGGCACACTCAGAGAGCGTGTAATGCAATCAGAGACTTTAGTTGGGTTCGGGCCTGATACGCACCTAATTTGACCTCGTGTCAAGGCGTGCAGTATCACGAGAAAATGAAGGCGTTCCAAGCCGCAATCCTGCTCTCAGAGGCAATTACCAATCAAAGCTTCATATTGCCGATGCACAGAATTGCGATTTACTGAAACGATTTTATGCTGATTGCCTGCGACACGTACAATTTTCCTGCTTGTTTTTTGGGTTTTTTCCCCTTCTTTTCAACTGCTTTATAAATGGCTTTAAAATTGATGTGTTTTTTTTTTTTAATTTTCAGAGGTTGGGGCAAAACCGTGGCCCAAAGAGGGCGTATGCCGCCCGGGACTTTGCGGAGAGGAAGCCGGATGCAAGATCGTCGGAGATAATCTTCATGCTTGCGTATGCCTCCATGACCAGAGTATACCCACGGCGGACTTGAAATGCCCGCGAAAAACAAGTGAGTGGCACCAAAATAGAGCATATATTTTCTTCAAAAAGATACCTCATTAGCAAAGCTCATTTATATGGACCTCTTGGCGCTTGGCTCGGGTCTTCCTATCGTCTGTTTCTATTTTTTACTATTCATCGCTTGGCTGACCAAAAGGCGTAACTACGATTTGAGATGGGCCCGAGAAAACATTGAGTTATATGGACAACTAGGTTCATCACCAAGTGCAGTTACGCTCNGGGGGGGGGGGGGGGGGGGGGCGCACAGTGGATCGAGTCAATAGGAGAGGTCGGACCAAATTTGGAAAATTTAAACGCATATAACTCTGTTTATGCACAACGTTGAGGTTCTAAAAGTGGCTAATTGTCGCTCTTGCACACATTCAGCTTTATACTCAGGTTTTATACAAAATAAGTACATAGCTAAAATGTGTTTACACCCAAGTAGCAGATTGCAAGGAGCATATTGAAATAATTTTGCAGTTTGATACAAGCGAATTGCAACTCTTGACGTACAATTGCGATATGTTTACATCGTTCAATCAGTAAAAATCAATTTTAAACGATCGACGAAATTTTTTCTTGGGTGAGGAAGATAGGCAATTTGCAGTGAAAAAAATTCCATCGCGATAAATTTCAATGAGAGGAGCAAAGAGAAAACAAGAGTCCGCATTGCATTACAAAAGTGCGTGGTCGCCCGACGCCCCGCCCACTTACTTTTCAGCCAATCAGACACCCGACGACCAAATTTTTATTTCTTATGGGAAATAACATGGGAAATCGAAACTATGAGTTTCATTCAAATTCAGTCAGTTTAATGGCAAAAATATGTTCACGACTGGATTCTCGGTATTCTGGCGTTTCTATTGGTATGTAATATGTTTCACTTTCCTCCAAAAACATCGAAGATTTTGATTTTTGAAATTTCAATTTCCACTCGGGTTGCTCCAGTCCAGTCCAGTTTCCAGTCGAACGTCGAAGGCATGGGCATGCATCTCACGTTGACGATCAATTATTGAAGATCATTGTTATTGTTTCGCACTTTTGATTAATATCGTTCAAAAGATTTCTCTGATCATAATATCAAAAACACTTTTTTCCTACGGATTCTGAAAGTTTATTGTGTTGACTTTCTGAGTGTCAGACCGCTCACAGTGAATGTTAACTTTCTGCAGTAGAACGGTGTCAGTGTTGTTACTATTTTCAATCCGAACGATGCTTGTACTTTAAAGTGTTTTGAAGCCTTATTTGTATCTCTGTGCATCATCTCCAGCCTGTTTTTATTTAAAATCGAAAACCTGGGATAAGCTAATCTGCAGGGAAAAGTCCGAAAGGTTGCACGGAGGTCCATATTTGTGTCAAGCACAAGTGTAAATTCCTTTGAAAAATGACCATCTTTGTGATAATGTAATGAAACTATGCAATTAAGTATGCAGAGAATAGTCAGGTAGAAGATTTACCATCTCTCTGAACTTGAGATTATGTCCTAAAACCATAAACTACACCGAATGCGGTGCAGTGTTGTATCAATCTAATTTTTTGCATTCTTCTTGGCAAACTCTGTTCTCCTGTCCTATGTTCACGGCTCTGTGTGGTATTTACTAAATTTTTTAAAGCAACTTCACCCAAAGTGCGCACTATTCCTGATAGACACAATAGTGGTAGTGTACTATTCATGTGATTTACACCCACCATTCAAGCCCGTGTCAGTGAGAAGGGATATCTACATACCTACACAGTTTTTAATCTGCTCTACCGCGTTTTCCATTCGTATTTATGAACTGTCTCCTTTCTGCTTTGAAGTCTGATTGCTACACAAAATAATGCTATTGGTCTACCTGTAGCTTATTTGTAATAGTCAGTCTCAAAGAATTTTCAACGGCACGGATCATCTGGAATTTTATGGATGCCTAATTCCTCCACCATCTCTTCAGTTTGAATATTTGTTATGTCAAGAAATGGAAAGGTAAGCAGGGATATAAATACTTTAAGGTACTCTTCTAGGAACTAATAAGCAAAATGTCTGTGCTTAGGGAGATTCTATCGAATCCTACTAGTTACTCAGCTGAAGATGGAGAACAGTTTTCTGTGGAGTCATCATCAACAAAATTGGGTCTAATGTAAATCAGCATGACCTGGTGTCTCTGTCGATTCATCAGGAATAAATTTTCAGTTTAAGAACTTCTGCGGGCCTCATGACATGTGAGGAAGTTTGGATTGTTATGGTTCTAAGTAATGGAGGAAGCTGGTATTGTTTTAAAAAAAGTATCATTTCTCAACAAGGGCATTCTCTACTTAAGTATCTGGATCGATCAATTTATGCAAAATTGTTACTGATTGCTTATATGAACTGGGCCTATTAAGTAGGGACCAACATCTTTAAAAACAACAGTATTGAGTAAATATCCAAGCATAAATATCCTCATTCCCAATTCTCTTTGTCCGTCTGCATATCAAGCACAGCCACAGCAAGGGTTAAAAGACAATCTGAAATTCATTCTGAATCCCTTTCTTTCCATCAGCGCTAAGAAGGATGCAAAATATGGTCAACCTCATCAGATTCAAACTTTGATTACTATAGGATACCTTTTCCAAAGATTAGGAACTATACTTATTCGTCACCACAAAAGTATCTTATTTAAATTCAGAAGTCTTCGATTAGTTTTGACTTTTCAGAAATCACAGAATTCCAAAAAATCTACTACTTAGGTACTTGAGAGATCAGGCTGTAAATTAGTTGGAGCCTGAGAAAATTTCAATAAACACGGAGAAAAAAATCAGGTGAATGAGGAAATGTTCTGAAAATGAATGCAATAATAGCATTATTAGCATCATTGCGGGGAGTATTTATATCCCTGCTTACCTTACCATTTCTTGACGTAACAAATATTCTAAGCAAAGAGAGCGAAGAGACGGTGGAGGAATAAAGCATCCATAAAATTCCAGATGAACCGTGCCGATGAAAATTCTTTGAGACTGACTATTAAAAAATAAGCTACGGGTGGACCGATAGCATTACTTTGACTAGCAATCAGGCTTCAAAGCAAAAAGGAGACAGTTTATACTTAAATACGAATGGAAAACACGGTAGAGCAGATTAAAAACTGTGTGTGTAGATATTGCTTCTCATTGACACAGGCTTGAGGAGTGGGTGTAAATCACAGGAATAGGGCACTACCACTACCGTGTCTATCAGGAATAGTACGCACTTTGGGTGAAGTTGCTTTAAAAAATTTAGTCAATAACACACAGGACCCTGAACATGGGACAGGAGAACAGTTTGCCAAAAACAATGCAAAAAATTAGAGCGATAGAACACTGCACCGTGTTCAGTGTGGTTACATGGCTTTACAACATAAGCTCTACCTTCATAAATCTTCTACCTTACTGTTCTCTGCATACTTAATTGGATACATTCATTAAATTTTCACAAAGACGGTCTTTCTTCAAAGGAATTTACACTTGTGCTTGACACAAATAGGGACCTTCGTGCAACCTTTCGAACTTCTCCCTGCAGATTAGCTTATCCCAGGTTTTTATCTTTAAAGAAAAACAGGCTAGAGATGATGCGCAGAGATACAAATTAGGCGTCGAAACACTTAAAAGTACAAGCATATTCTTCGGATTGAAAATAATAGGTAACAACTGGCACCGTTCTATGTACTGCAAAAAACTAACATTCACTGTGAGCGGTCTGACACTAGGAAAGTCAACACAAAATGTGTAGGAAAATAAAGCATTTTCATTAATATGATCAGGTAAATATTTTTAACGATATTAATTAAAAGTGCGAATACACAGGAATAAAATTCACATGTTAACTGAACGCAATGATCTTCAATTAATTGCCAAGAAGTGAGATGTTCGCGTACGACGGGAGCAACCCGAGTGGAAAATGGTTAGGAAATTGAAATTTCAAAAATCAAGATCTTCGGTGTTTTTCGAGGAAAGTGGAACATATTACATATCAATAGAAACGCCAGAATACCGAGAATCCAGTCGTGAACATGTTTTTGCCATAAAATTGACTGAATTCGAATGAAACTCATAGTTTCGATTTCCCATGTTATTTCCCATAAGAAATGAAAATTTGGTCGTCGGATGTCTGATTGGCTGAAAAGTAAGTGGGCGGGGTATCGGGCGACCACGCACTTTTGTAATGCAATGCGGACTCTTGTTTTCTCTTTGGAGAGGAGCGCAAGAGCCCGTTCAATCAGTGAATCATTGGCGGATCCAGCGATTTGGCGACACCGGATTTCCTCCATTTAAACCTATGGAAATATATCGAATCTTGGAGGGGTCAGGTGCTTCGTCAAGAATCGATTGTTTAGCATACGTTTAAATGGAGGAAATCCAGTGTTGCCAAATTGCTGGATCCGCCTCTGCAGTGAATATAGACAACATACAAAACCTTCGATACAATGACAATGATACGACCGTGTGACTGAAATTTTTTGCAACTTCTGCTACTTGCGCTTGGGGATGGGTAATAAATCCGTTTTATGCCAACCATTTAAAGCAAAATCAGTATTCAGTGAATTTTGTCTGGTAGCTTGATATTTGCTTACTTTCCGCTATAGATTCACTTGAAATCTTTCAGTTCGCCTGAATGCGTCGTATTCTGCAGTGCTGAGGAAGAACGTCGTATGAACATTCGAGAGTTGCCAAGTTTCCCTGGATAAAACATGTATTTTTGACAACATTCATGCATTTTTTCTCTTGAAATTTTCAGATATTTTAGATTAAATTGCGTACAAAATTGTCTGAAAACTTTGGAAAATAATCTTCAGAATTTTCCCAGTAAATTCGGTTTTTATCGGAGGAAACTTGGCAACGCTTGAAGGCTTATACGGCGTTTTCCCTCGCTGGAAAAGAAACACATTGGATCTAGAGTCCAGACTCTTAAAAACATCGACAAGAAAAAATACTCTTGATTCAATCGGATTTTTGCTTAAATCAAGAACCAAGCCTCTTAATTTGAGCGGATTTCCTTTTGATTCAAGCAAAAAT